AGTATTAAAAAGTCAAAATCCATTTGGTCAACATACTATATATAGACTGTCAGCATGTTATGTCACGCCTCGTTCTGCTGATGGCGTGTCCTGGCGTCCCTCCATCCTCTGAAGCTGCTGTTGCTTCTCGTCTGCACTGAGGCCTTGATTCTGTGTGAGAGCTCCACGCCAGTGTCGGCTCGGCTCTGTTCATCGCACCGCTGGAACGGGAACCAGCAGCCGTGTCTCTGGGAGGCTGTTCGAGAGCCATGCTGTGACGAAGCAGTATTTGGTGTGTGTGTCAGGGACAGTGTGGTCGTAGTAGTAGTGAAATGTTACCGCTTTATGTCTCAACTCAGGAATGACCACTCTCACCTTGCACAGTGACTCTACCCTCCTCCAGGCTGAGCTCATTGTTTGTTCATCTGTTCAGTTGTCCAAAGATGCTCCTTTAAGTTAAACAGTAGTCAACACTCAGGCATCCCAAATGACTTGGTAGCACTTTAAAGAATTATTACAGACATTTGATGGCAGGTCTCTAACACACTGATGTAGTTGTAAGCAAATCTGAGTTCTTATTAACGTGTCTGTTGCCGACCTGTGGACGCTGCTGTAGAAACACGTTCTGATCACATAGTAAAACACTGCTGTAATAATGGCCTCGGGTTAGAGGTTAGGGTTAATACGTACTGTACATTAATAGACAGTGAAGATGTCTTTATAGGTGCTTTCCCAGTGATGTATTATATATTAGTATAGCTGGTTATTCATCTGCATCCAGGACTTTTACTTTTGATATTTTAGGTACATTAAATCAATTAATGTACATGTGCATTAGGTATTAGCAACATGTACAAACGAGTCTGATGGTTAGACTCCACTAGGTTGGTTTGTGTTAATGCTGCCTTGGAGTCGCCGGCTCCGTTTTTGGGCTGCCGCTTTCCCAGCACGCACCTGGTGTTTTCTTGTCAGCCTATAGTTCCTTACATGGATTTTTGTGTTAAAACTCCAGCAGTGCTCAGTTTGCTCTGTTCCAGTGGACTGGACTTGAATTCCCAACTTTTATCCTTCTGCTTGGCATTTCTGGAGCCCGTTATCCGTTTATAGCCTGGTTGTGAAACACACCTTGGTCCTGCCATTGTCCTCATTAGAAAGCCTGTTACTTCCTGATAACTGATGGCCTCTCACCTATATATGGCTCTGTCTGTCTTCAGTGACCTTTGAACTTTGTGTGTCACTAAGTGTGTACACACTGGAATCAACAACTTGTTTGTCATTAGCTGAACTTGAATATAACTTGTTCTGCTGAGAACTTATACAACTCATTAAGTCGCTAAAGAAACCACAGCGGCAGACTTCCCAGCATGCATCAGCATAAGTGAAAAAACACAACTAAAAACAGAAAACAAACATTATTCAACTGACTGAAAATGAATTGGCAACAACTTTGGTAACTGAGCAAAGTTATCAACCTCATTTTGATGCAAAAATGTCAAAACTTCACTGACACCAGCTTCTTAAATGTGAATATTCCCTAGTTTTATAGTTTTCTTTAATGGTAAACTCAACATCTTTGGGTTTTTGAGTTTTGGTCAGATCACAGACTTGATTTCACTGCTCAGAGAAAAACGACGGCCAGTTTGTCACTACTTTCTGATATTTTATCAACTGAAAAGCTTTATATATTTGATAATACGACCTTCCCTAATGTTTTTGTGTTGGATTCCTGAAACAAATCTGTGGAAACCATATGATAAAGCAGACTTTCAAACAGTGATGTACAATATAAATGAAACAATAAACCAGTGAACTACATTTTCAGTCCAGTTTCAAGACCACGGTCAATAGATTGAGGGCAGAGGAGCAGACGTAGTTGATATTGTACTTAACTGGTGGAAACTTGTAGCAAATTTGTGATAAATCTAATTATGTAGTAAAGCAGAGGGTTTGGGGGACCTATAAACGAAGTGACACCAGTGTTTTCTCTGTGCTGACTTCAGTTGTATTTACATTCACTGGGATAATATTTAAAATGTTGATTTTTGTTAATATTTCTTCTCGGCCTTCATATGATCTTCATCAACTGAACATGCGAGCATTTACCAGTCGATCTGTCATGGAGCTGAGACGCGTTAGGGATTCACAAATGTGGTTAAATAGGTTAAATGGCAGTAATGAGTCGTCCATCCATCCACCCAGCGAGAGAGGTCGAGCTGCGCATGTCTCTCTCTCCCCCAGCCTTTGTCTATGTCTCTCTGCCCTGGTCTCTCCCCTCCCGCTATCCGCTGCATGCTTAGCCGAGGTTCAAGATGGACGCCAAATGCGGTTAGTCTGCTCACAATCTTTTGTTTAGCGACGGTCCTCGTTCATGTGTCGTGTATGCCCGCGGTTTTGTCGCGTTTATGGTAGGTTTAGTGTTTGCATGAGCTTCGGGAGTCTGGCTGCATTCAGACGAGGAGGAGAGGAGGCGGACCGGGCCGCCTGTGGAGGTCATACCGGTTTGACGTTTTGTCTCCGCGGTAAGGACTGAGCTGCCGGTGGGGGCTGTTAGACGGCACCCCGGGCGGATATTAACATACTTAGGGATACAGACCGTGTTGAAGAGGGGGAGGATCAGGCTGTGATTAAAACATAGCGGGTACTGAAACGAGATCAGCGGCTTAGCTAACCGTGATGCTGGGTCTATTTTTAGCCGGACCCCGGCGCTAGCGTGCCTGCTACCATATGTAGCCAGACGTCCATATGTGGACCACGGCTCCTCCTCCTCAGCTTCGCCTCCCAGACCGTGTCTTTAAATCCAGACAATGGCTCTCTATTTAGACTACCGGCCACAGCTGCTCCTGTGTGGCTGATGGAGCTCACACCGAGCCTCATGCTAAGCGGTAAGAGAATGACGGGAGCTAGCTGCTGGCTAACGGACTGTAGCGAGCTGTCAACGCCCACGCTACAGTGCTGAACTTAAAAAACAACAACAACCCTAAAATGCACAGATTTTACTTTCCTCACAAAGGAAGAGTCTAGGGAAGGTAATAAAACGTCTTAATATCCATTGACAAAGGTGTTTGAATATTTTGCTATCCTGCTGATGGCAGTGGCATTAGTTACAGGGGATTTTGTGTGATTTTTGGCAAAAACTGTCCGGAACCTTCTTATTTAGGTTCATGGGACGTTTTATTCCATAATCTCTCGGGCCATCCTTCCGCTTGCTGCAGCCTGCCCAGGCCATATTGTGGAGAAATTAAAATAATTGTTGCATATCTAGATGGGAAGAGCTGAGAAAACGTGATGCAGCCTAAATGTCTGTGACAAAGCAGGTATGATATTTTGTTCAGTATTTGGCCAACTGAAGCTGCTCTTTATTACAAGCCTCAGTGCATTAACTTCGTCTTTTATTTGGTATAAAATCAAAAACGCTCTGTCTGCAGATGAATGTGTTTGACATGTGCTGAGTGCAGGTGTCCTGCAGCTGAAGGAGTCGGTTGGATTCGTTTCTTGGCACCACCTTGTTGCAGGAAATCTGATTTCAGGTTTTCATTCATTGGCTGTTAGGCTGTTTTCAGAATATTTTGGTTAGCTGCCAAACGTGCGTTGGCCCGTCAGTCTTCACTCACTGTGCCTACCTTTGTGTCTCGGTGCATCCACTCAGCCTCGGTTTGCATTTTAAAGCCGTTGCTTTGCTTATCAACAAATGCTCTGTATCAATGATGTTTCTTACACTAGTGAAGTAAGTCTACAGTGTGTGTCCAAGCTTTAGGTTACTGTGACTGTAGACTTACTTCACTAGTGTGTGTCCAAGCTTTAGGTTACTGTGTGGTTCACCCTGTAGCACTTATTTCTGTTAGAATCCATCCTAAAGAACTGACTGGATCATTGAAAATGTTCCTGTTTGTGCTGTGAAACACTGAATGTGGTCCAGTGTATGAAGTTGATCAGCTTATTGCTGAAGTGGAACATGAATGCTTGATTATTTGACATGTATGTAGTGTGATGCTGAAACATGAAACTGGCAGATTCCAGTGTGCGCTTTGATGTGACATGCTCTCATCATTCAGAGGTACATCACATATTAGAGCCTCTAGGGGTGCCCCACCTCCTCCACTTCTAATACTGCCCACTGACCTGCCTGGAATTCACCAGTGAAATATAAGCATCCTCAGTGCTGGACACAGGTCTGAGCTCAGCTGTCCCTCAGCAGAGCCTGACCCGCACACCATAACCAGGCTGAGTCCTCAGAGACGGAAGGCTGCTCCCATATGGCAGAGAGAACACAAGTGCAGGATCAGATAAGTGTAGTATTTATTTGCAGGAATCTGAATCAAACCTGTACTCTGAAATCCCAGTCTCACCAGTTTAAAGCTTGCCATCAGAATTAAGTAGACATGAGTAAGTTTGAGATTGTTGGGCAGCATCATGAATAATGTTTATGCAAAGTAAAGCTGATGATCTCCAACGTGGCCGGGAGAGGAAGTTGTTTTTGTGGTATCAGGGTGAAAAGTAGAAGGAAGTCGAGGAAGTGTAGAGATGAGGAAGTTTGTGGGTCAAAAGCTGCAGTGAGTTTCCTCCTGCAGGGTTTTCCTTTCAAAACTCTGGATGAGTTTGACCGTTTGTGACCTCTGACTCCATCAGAGGTTTCGGTAATGAGACAAACCCCACATGCACCAACCATGTGACAGTTGGTTGAGAAATCTGACTCTAGTTTCGATCGCTGATAAAATCAGGTCAGAACAGTGTTTGAAACAGATTCTCCATGACGACACTTTAACCTAAGGCTGATTCAACCCAAAGCAAACTGATTCTTAAACTCCCAATCGGTTTGTCTGTTCTCATCATGCGTGTTAGACAGACGGTCCTCGGCTCACTTGAGTCAGTCCAAGTTTGAAAAGTAATAAAATCTGACCAGAGCTCTGCAGTCGGCCCTCGTCTCTGCTGCAGGTTCAGCACATAATGCTGCGCACGCTCCAGGCTTCATTTGAGAAGAGCTGAAGTGGAGTCACTTCTCTAACCTTGGCTCCTTCTTGCAGTGGTGGAACTCCTCTACTGGCGTGATGTGAAGACAACGGGCGTGGTGTTCGGCGCTGCCCTGCTGCTGCTCCTCTCCCTGACGGTGTGCAGCATCATTAGCGTCTGCTCCTACGTCGGCCTGGCTCTGCTTTCAGTCACCATCTGCTTCAGGATATACAAAGGCATCCTGCAGGCCATCCAGAAGTCCGATGAGGGCCACCCATTCAAGTGAGTACCAGAGTAAAACACCCGAGTCGTCGTCAGAATTGTAAATACAGTAGGATCCTGATGATGCAGCACCTGGGCAGACTCTTCAGAAAATTGGGTATTTGTCTGACAAAAGCACTACTACTAGAAGTTTTGATATACAGTGGGTACGGAAAGAATTCAGACCCCCTTAAATTTTTCACTCTTTCTTATATTGCAGCCATATGCTAAAATCATTTCAGTTCATTTTTTTCCTCATTAATGTACACACAGCACCCCATATTGACAGAAAAACACCGAATCTTTGACATTTTAGCAGATTTATTAGAAAAGAAAATGAAATATCACATGGTCATAAGTATTCAGACCCTTTGCTCAGTATTTAGTAGAAGCACCTTTTGAGCTAATACAGCCCTCCTGTCACAGACATAAGTATGGGAGCGAAGGTCAGACATCCTCCCATTTCTTCCTCCAGCACTTCATGAATGAAATCCCTCCCTGCTGAGCGGTGAGTCCCGGATATCGTTTAGATTAAGTCTGCAGTCCTCCATGTATTCTCACTTGTGTTTGTTTTATAATTGATTTATTCATCCACTTTTCTTTCAATAATAAACTATTTAATGTGCAATTCCTGTGAGTTCCTGTGATGAAAGATTCATACTGTCGATTTTTAGTTTTCACCTACACTTTAAAAGTCTTCATCTGAAAGCACTGGTTTGGTTGGCGCAGTAAAAACAACATTTTCCTGTCTGGTTTTCTAATATAAAATATGAAGAATATTTAATTTGACTGATGAGGGTCATTATTATAAAGATAGTGTTTTTGTTTGTTTGGTAAGTACATGTTAAGTACATCTTGTCAGTCAGAATGAAATATCCTGATGTAGAGTACTTTGAAAAGTGCACTCATATGTCATCATAAACCACATTATTATGATTTACCATTTAGATTCATTCTGAAGATGTTAGATATTACCAGGCATCTGAGGAAAAGTACAACCGGGTCATGTACAAACAAATGTTTTCTTTTTCACAGATTTGACACCACATAAAAAAGAAGACAGTTAAAAAAAGGGGAAGTGGCAAATTTACTGAATCTCAAAACTCAAAACTGCTTTGTGTGGTCACACAGCTTTCTCCTTCCCATTTTTATTCAACCACCAAACCTACAACTGCTTTTAAGAGAAGCACATTAAATCACATTTTTGACCATCTTTCCCACATTTTCACACCGACTCATCTATCTGGGTGAAACAGACCAAAATGCCACTGAAGCAAAATGACATGTTAAACATGACGACCAACGTTTACCATCCAACCTGACAGCACTGGAGAGGATCTGCAAGGAGGAATGGCAGAGGATCCCCAAATGCAGGTGTGAAAAACTTGTTGCATCATTCCCAAAAAGACTCATGGCTGTATTAGCTCAAAAGGGTGCTTCTACTAAATACTGAGCAAAGGGTCTGAATACTTATGACCATGTGATATTTCAGTTTTTCTTTTTTAATAAATCTGCAAAAATGTCAAACATTCTGTGTTTTTCTGTCAATATGGGGTGCTGTGTGTACATTAATGAGGAAAAAAATGAACTTAAATGATTTTAGCATATGGCTGCAATATAACAAGGAGTGAATAAATTTAAGGGGGTCTGAATACTTTCCATACCCACTGTACCTGTTCAAAAGTATTAATGCATGTTGATCATTGGCCCAGTTTGCTAGCTTGCTAATAACTTATTAGAAGAGTTGGATCTCGGTGATTGACAATGTCGTGTTAAAAAAACAAACACAAGGAGGAGCTGTCGTGTGTGTGTGTGTGTGTGTGTGAGAGAGAGAAACGGAGCGTGCCGCCGATGGACTGAGCGAACGTGCACTACAATGAAATGAGACTCAGCCTATTTTAAATTAATACAGGGCAGTCAGTGTTGATATTGTGATGCTCTGCCACAAATAAGTCAGTGTAATCACTGTTGGTAGGAGGTTATAAACACACAGACTGAGACCGTTTCTCCTCATCCTCCTCATCACCACAGCTGTGTTGTATTTAACCCTTTCCTCTACTTTACCTCCTAGGCAGTATCTGGACCGGGAGGTGGCGCTGTCTGGGGACATGGTCCACAAGTACAGCGACATAGTTCTGGCCAAACTAAACAAGATCATCTGTGAATTAAGGCGCCTGTTCCTGGTCGAGGACCTGGTTGACTCTATCAAGGTGAGAACAACTCTGGCTCACACTGTTCACATCTGAGCTGATGTTTCCAGAGAAGTGTGAACAAACCAAATCAGATGTTTTCAGGTCAGATCTGGGCCACTCGCATGTGGCAGTGTAGGAGCTGAGCGGTGCTTGTGTGGAGCAGGATACATACCTCTTACACACATGGGTAAGAAGCATCAGCACAGAAAAGAAAAGACGCTTGATGTTTTTCATTCTGCCTGTTATGCAGATGTGGTCCTCCTGGTCTTTGAAGGGTCAACTGTGTTAATCAGTTGAACCTGCAGCGAGCTTGCATGTCTGTAGATCAGTGATTGTAATGGATGACAGAGCTGTCAGGGGCCTTCAGCAGCTCGCTGTGCCTCCACCCTCCAAGCTGCAGTCCAAATACAGACCTGCCCTGGAAACACAGGAGAGATTCCCTTAGTGGGTAAAAACATCCAATCGGGGCTTTTGAGCCTCAGGAATGTTCCGATTCTCTCTCCAGATTAGTGTGTGTGGGATGTTCCTGTCACTCTTCTGCCTCTGATCAGTGTCCTGTTATCGTCCTCTGTGCCAGCCGTGAATATTTACAGCCACACCAGCAGGTCGCTACAGTGGCAGACACGTTTAATCTGACTCTGTGTTGCTGTGCGGTCTTTTCACTGGCAGCCACGGCTCAAGGCTGTTTGAATGGTCATTGTTAACTCAGGCAGAAAACTGTAGCGTTACATCATGGCTCTGTAAATGTTCAAAGAGCTTCAGGGTTAAAATCAGTTTCACAAGAAGAACTTTGTTCTGCTTCTTGTGATCCACTTTTACTCATCAGACACAGCTGAAGGTTGTCACCATGTAATGTCATGACAAACGTGCTTTCAGGTTCAGTGTGACTTTATTGGTGATGTGGTCATCTGTGATTACCATAAATCCACTTAGAGAAGAGGCTGCAGAACCTGCCTGCAAATCCTCAGGTGATCCAGTGAGTCATGTGCACATGGCAGCCACTCACTGCTCAGTCTGCTGCTTTTAATTGTCACGCAAAAAACAAAAACGGGGCTCAAGGGAGAAGAACGGTACAGTTTTCTCAACCTGCTATGGACTTAAGGATTTATTTAAAAAAGAATTTCTAATAAAGCTCACCATTTATATGTGGCCCTATTATTCTGTATAAGCTGCATCACGGTCAGGTGCAGGGTCAGAACTGAACCACCTGTCCTCTGGTTCCTCTTCAGGATGTGTCCAGACACGGCACAATCATGTTGGTCCTCTAAATGTCGGTTATGAGATTCTCAGGTTTGGTTCCTTTTCTTCTGTTCCTCTGCAGTTTGCTGTGCTGATGTGGATCCTGACTTACATCGGTGCCTTGTTCAACGGGCTCACTCTTCTTATTCTCGGTGAGAAACGTGCACGTTTCAGACTGCACCAGGAGACTCTGTTTTCTTCCAACAAGCCTCTGTTTAATTTGGAAGATGCTGTAACACACAAACATTTACATAAATGAAAACGACCTCAACACTGATCTGTTGTTCTGTGACACATTCACTGTCTGTGGGAGTTTGTAGATTTCAGGTTCAAATTTAAATCAAGAAGCAGCGTGTGGTCAGATTTGCATAGTTTGACTCTTTTTCTTGTCCTGCCTCAGGTCTGATCGGAGCGTTCAGCTGCCCGATCATCTACGAGAAGCACCAGGTGAGCGCTGCAGTCTTTACCCATAATGCACCACTTCCTCTGCTGACTTTAAAAGACGCTGTTTGATAACTTGTAATGGGAGGGTACAGTGAGTCCCCTGTCTAACATTCATAAGTAGCAGTATATAAACATGTAATCAGAGTATTTGTATGCAGATCTCAGTGATTATTCATGTCAGTCTCCAACTAACTCCTCCTGGACGCCCAGGAACTGACCGCGATTGATAACATGCTAGAAGTTATGACTGTTGACAAGTACTTGTTAATAGGGGTGAAGCTGGCTTCTTCTCTGTGTGCTGAAAAAGATTCAAAGCCTCCAGACAAGTCCAGCGCCATCTGGTGGTGTGATAACATCCTGCCGCTCAGTGCTTCAGTAGTTTCTCATGTGAGGCCATAAAAGTCCAGTTTGTCTGTTTGATGGTTTTGTTTCTGAACAGATACTGGATATGATGCTGTTGCTGAGATTAAATCTTAATGCACCTTATTAGTAGTACAAATACACACGGAGTTTCAGGTGCTGCTCACTTGGTTTTACGTGCACATGTAAATCATGAGTATGACTGGAGTGTGGAGACGGCTGACGTCCCTGCACACTGATGTGTGTGTGTGTGTGTTTCAGGCTCAGATCGACCACTACCTGGCTCTGGTCAACAACCAGATCAAAGACATTGTTGCGAAGTAAGTTTGTTTATCAGACACAAGAAGTTTCCAGAACTGAGCTTTGTACAGCTGCTGCATGAACAGCATCACTCATCAGCCTGTGTGTGAACCTCTTTGTTCTGCAGGATCCAGGCGAAGGTGCCCGGGCTGAAACGCAAAACTGAGTGAAGTTGCCACAAGCCGGAGTTGGGATTCAGGACGTCCTGAGAGGAGATGGTTGAGGGCAGGTGGGGGTGTTGGGTGAGGGTGGGAGGGATGGGTGCATATGAAGGAAGGCCAGAGGAGGAGTCTGGCGTGGACGCAGCCCTTCTAACTTTATTTGTCAGAAATAAAAACACTTTTTTCCAGTCCCGAATTCCCTTTTGTTTTTGGGTGTGTTTTCTGGAGAAGTTGAAGCAGGGTCACAACGCCGAGCTCGGCCTTATCAGGTTATGTTTCCCTCCTTTTGTTTTTTAAATTTTAAATCACTGCAGTATTTTTCCGGTGGAGCCCGGCAGAGAGATTTTTTTTCCCCCTCATCTTCCTTGGCATTGGAAGACGAGCAGCAGATGGCGTCTCATTTGTATTTTGTCCTTTTTCTGAATATTTTTGCTGAAGTATTGAGTGATTTTTCCGTTCGTGTTCCTCAGACTGTCAAGCTTGTGTCCTCAGTGAAGTGCTGCCTGGTTTCGCATCAATATGACGAATTTCTGAATGGCGTCTTTGACTCCTGATGAGGCAGTGGGTGGGGGGGGGGTTGTCGTCACTTTAAATAAAAACTTCATTGCTTCTGAGAAACTAGCTAGAAACATCTAGACCTTTGCCAGACAAATAAAACATGTTAATTACAACAAGTCGTTTCCATGTCATCACAGCTGTCTAGTAATGAAACTCTGGAGAACACGTTTACATTCATCCACATCAAGAAACCATTTAAAAATCTTAAAAAATGGGATTTAAAGAAAAACCTAATTAACCATACTGTCTGTGGAGCCGATATCTTAATGAAGTTGCAACTTGATGTGACTTTTGGGAAACCTTTGTTTGTTATGCAAGTATTATTGTGAATGATAAACTTCATACTTCAATTGTGACGATAAAACGCTTCCAGCCGGGAGCCGTGTTTGTGGAATGCATTGTAAGATGTAAACAATTATCAATAAAGCTTCTAGATGAAGAAAGTCCCGCCTCCTTGTCTGTCCATCATCTCGGCTAGCTCCAGCTAGCACTGGCTAGCTTCGGTCTGAGAGGCATGGACAAAATCAACACCAACAAGGTGGGGACTAAATTGTTAAACACTGAATCAAAATGTGTGTTGATGTGAATTTTTAAGCCAAAACACAGAGACCGAGTTGCAGGATAAATTCAGACACCAGTCAGTTTTGACTTTCAAGCTTAAGCTCTGGACAAAGAGGTCTAAGTTGATGTGGACAGTTTCATTTTGTAAACTGAACTTATGATGCCAAATCCAGATTTTGAGATATTAACAGATGTTCACAGTCTTTAACAATGATCCCGTGGCCTCACATTTACAGCAACACCTCAACCGCTCACTGTAATCACTCCCCTTGTCACTGTTTTAGTGAATGAGAGGAACAGAATTGATAGTTTGGTTCTTGTTGCGGGTGTCTGACGTTAACAGACGGTCACAGGATGACGAGCTGCTCTCTATGGAAGCAGACACCAGCAGAAACGGTTTGACTTTCAGCATCATGACTCTAAAGACAAAGTTGCGGTTCTAGAATAAAACATTTGGACTTTTTCGTTTTCTTAATTTAGAAAATTATTTTGGTTCAGAATGTAGAATTTTTTTTTCTTGGTTTCGATTGTTCACTACCAAATTTATTTTGAGTTAATGCAGAAAGTTTTTAGCCCCCTTTGCTTTTTTTCATACTTTGTTTCTGATTTTACTTGAAATGGAAATAAATTTCTAGGTTTGTTTACACTCAGTAAATATTTACACATTTATCCATCCATCCATTTTCCTCCGCTTATCCGGGACCAGGTCGCGGGGGCAGCAGTCTAAGCAAAGATGCCCAGACTTCCCTCTCTCCAGACACTTCCTCCAGCTCCTCCGGGGGAATGCGGAGGCGTTCCCAGGACAGCCGAGAGACATTGTCCCTCCAGTGTGTCCTGGGTCTTCCTGGGGCCTCCTCCCGGTGGGACATGCCCGGAACACCTCCCTAGGAAGGCGCCCAGGAGGCATCCGAAACAGATGCC